CTCTGTCTCTGTCTCTATCATTCTGGTCATGATCATCTTGTAGATTCCGAGAAAGCTTCTTGGATCAAAAGCAAAACATCTTCAAAGAAAAACCCAGAAAGTTCCAGTTGCCTCTTGAGGAAAATTTTTTTAAAAAAGGACTTTTGGCATGTATCCATTGTACTTGGTTTTGCTTCCATAAATGCCTATAAACCTTCCAGAAAACAACATTCCAACAGAGACAGAGAAATAAGTTAGGTAAAAGTGGGGGGAATTGGAGGGCCAGTCTTTCATTCCCACCCCCACCCCACCCCACAGGGGTGTGGTTGTGGGGTGAAGAGGAGGAGGTGGAGAATTGGGTATAATTTGCTGCTGTGAGTTGTTTATAAAAATAATAAAAGTGGGATTTAAAGAAAAACATCTAAATAAATAAATTGGAGGTAGCTTTATTTAGGGACAGTTCTAAACGGGCGTAATTTGAATAAGTTTAAGTTTATAAGTTTAATAACATTTATATGCGGCCCAATCGCGTAGGACTCCCGGGCGGCTTACAGTACAAAATAAATCAAGAAAAAATAAAACAGACGGAAAGAAAAGATAGATTTAAAAAACACACCATGCACTCCGTTCTAAATGGGACTGGACCGTATTTTGAATCCATTGATGTTGATATTCGGGGGGCTTTTTCTTCCAGGAAACCAAAGAAACTATCATTGACCCTTTTCCTAGGCAAAACAGAGCATGCCATCTTTATGAAGGAGGTATTTGCGCTCATAAAGACATTTTGTGAATAAGGAGGACTCAATTATCTCCTTTATTTATCGATTGGTTTTAGCACAGTGATATTTCCCCCCTCCCTTTATTTTTTTTTTAAAAAGAAAACCAGCTCTTTGTCTCCTTCAATTTCTCAAGGTGATTTGGGGGAAGGGGGATCGGTGATGGTTAAATAAAGCTTTTAAACCAACCCCCGACCTCTGACCTCTTCCAGCTGCATCTGCAATTCCTTCAAAGCTCCGATTTCGTTCAAAAACACCTGCGAATTTAGGGAACTGTTTTAGACTCCCGAGTCTGGTTGAGAAAATCTATTGGGAATGGAATGGGAAGAGGATAGAAATACTAGAACGGAAATAATAGAATAAATCGAATAGAAATAATAGAATAAATCGAATAGAAATAATAGAATAAATCGAATAGAAATAATAGAATAAATCGAATAGAAATAATAGAATAAATCGAATAGAAATAATAGAATAGGTATAGGAAAGGGTAGAATAGAATAGAATAGGAACAAGAACAGAACGGAACGAAATAGAAATATAGAAATAGAATAGAATAGAAAATAGAAATAGAAATAGAATAGAAAATAGGAATAGGAATAGGAATAGAAAATAGAATAGAAAATAGAATAGGAGAGGAGAGGAGAGGAATAGGAATAAGGCCGGTTAAAAAAAATAGAACCGATCGCGGAGGAGAAGCGCTTTTCCAGCCTCACATTGCCCGCGCGTCCGAATTCGGTAGAAAGGGAGTTGTCGGAACGGGGCGTCCGACACGCCTTCTTTGCTTCTTCCCGACTGGCAGGGAGAAACCCGAAAAGGGTCGGGGACGGGGATGGGAAGCCGGACCGAGGGGTTCGTCTGGATTTAACCGGGTCGGCGCTCTTTTCTTTCTTTCTTTCTTTCTTTCTTTCTTTCTTTCTTTCTTTCTTTCTTTCTTTCTTTCTTTCCTTCTTTCTTTCCTTCCTTCCTCTCTCTCTCTCTCTCTCACTTTCTTTCTACCTTTCTCATTCTTTCTCTTCTTTCTTTCTTTCTCTCTCTTTTCTTTGTTTCTGTTTCTTTCTTTTTCTTTCTTTCTTCTGTCTTTCTTTCTTCTCTCTCTCTAATTCTTCTCTTTCTCTCTCTTTCTTCTTTCCTTCTCTCTCCCTCTACCTCTCTTTCTTTCTTTCTACCTCTCTCATTCTTTCTTTTTTCTTTCTTTCTCTCTCTTTTCTTTCTTTCTCTGTTTCTTTCTTCTGTTTTTCTTTCTTCTCTCTCTCTAATTCTTCTCTCTTTCTCTCTCTTTCTTCTTTCCTTCTCTCTCCCTCTACCTCTCTCTTTCTTTCTTTTTACCTCTCTCATTCTTTCTTTTTTCTTTCTTTCTCTCTCTCTCTTTTCTTTGTTTCTCTGTTTCTTTCTTCTCTCTCTCTAATTCTTCTCTCTTTCTCTCTCTTTCTTCTTTCCTTCTCTCTCCCTCTACCTCTCTCCTTCTTTCTCTCTCGTTCCAGGTCTGGTTCCAGAACCGGCGGGCCAAATTCCGCAAGCAGGAACGGGCGGCGGCCGCAGCGGCGGCGGCGGCGAAGAACGGCTCGTCGGGCAAGAAATCCGACCCTTCCCGGGACGACGAGAGTAAAGAAGCCAAGAGCACCGACCCGGACAGTACCGGCGGTCCGGGTCCCAACCCGAACCCGGCGCCCAGCTGCGGAGGCGGCGGTCCCAGCCCTGCGGGGGCTCAAGGCAACGGGGGAGCCGGCGGTCCGGGGCCGGAGGGGAACAAGGGCGCGGCGCCCCCGGGCTTAGCTGCAGCGGGTCCCGGGCAGGGCTGGGCTGGGGGTCCGGGCTCCATCGCCTCCATCCCAGATTCCTTAGGCGGGCCCTTCGCTAGCGTCCTCTCCTCTTTGCAGAGACCCAACGGCACCAAAGGCACCTTGGTGAAGGGCGGCATGTTTTGAGGGGTGGGCGGCGGGGCCAGCCTCCCCCTCCTGCCTCCCCCCACCCCCAGCCAGGTTGGGCGCTCCTCCGGGACTCGCGTCCCAGGCCACGCGTGGCCCGCGGGGTACGTGGGAGCGTCCCACCGCCGCTTCCCCCCCCCATTGGCTCCCCATCACTCGGTTTGCAAAAACGGAAAGCCACAAGACCCCCCAACTCTTGCAAAGTAACTCCCTGCCCCCCCCCAACTCCCCACATCTCCCCCCCTCCCCTTCTCTGCCCAACAGGGCCCTTTCTCCTTCTAGCAAGCCAAGGGCTCCATGGACCACCATCCCCCCCCCAGGGGGAAGGGGACGCACATCTAGTGGCCCAGCGGCCCCAGAGCTTGGCCAGGCGTGGACCCGTTTCCCTTCGCACGCATGGGGGATGCAGGATTAATTCCGTGGGGTCCTGGGCTCTCTCTGAACTGGGTGGTTTCCTTGCAGACATTTCCCTACCCAACTAGGTAACGTCATCAGGGCTAGATGCGGGCTGGAGTAGAGACCGGCGCCAGACCCTGCTGATGAAACGGTCAGAAAAAAAAGTATTTTCTGTAAAAAAAACCACTCAGCTCAGAGAGCGCCAAGGACCCCCCCCCCCATTAATTCAACCCCGAGCGACAAATCTTCTCTTCGATTAGGACAGGTAGTCCTCGATTTATGACCACAATGCAGCCCCCCCGTTCTGTCCTTAAGTGAGACATGGGTTAAGGGAGCTTTTGCGTCTGAATTTGGTGAATCAACAGGGATCTTGCAACGGTCGTAACTGTGAACAGCGGCCCTAAGTCACTTTCTCCCCCCCACTACGAACAGTCACTAAATGGAGGACTACCTGAACCAATTTTCTGGGTTTGCACATCCAGGCTTGGCAGCTAGAGGGCAGCCTCAGGACACCGGAACCACTGTGGTTTGCTGCCCCCTAGTGGCTGAAGGTTTCAACGCAGGGTTCACATCTGGGAAGGACCTCACCTCCCAGGTGATGCAAAGATGGCACATTTTGCATCACAGACTATTTTCATGCAAGGGTATAGGTAGCCCGTTATAGCGTCACCTGGTTGTGGGCGTGGCCATATTTGGGGATGCACATGACAACTTTCTGGCACACGGTGAGGACTGGTTGATGTTACAAAAAGAGACTCCATCGCTTGGGGTGGGAAAAAGCCAAGGACTTGAAGTTTGAGGATTTCTAGGTTTGACTATTCCAGGGGTCTCCAATCTTGGCAACTTTAAGCCAACTGCCAGAATTCGCCAGCCGGCTGGCGGACTTCAACTCCCAGAATTCCCTGGCCAGCTGGTGGACTTCAATTCCCAGAATTTCTTGGCCAGCTGGTGGACTTCAATTCCCAGAATTCCCTGGCCAGCTGCTGAACTTCAATTCCCAGAATTCCCCGGCCAGCTGGTGGACTTCAATTCCCATAATTCCCTGGCCAGCTGGTGGACTTCAATTCCCAGAATTCCCTGGCCAGCTGCTGAACTTCAATTCCCATAATTCCCTGGCCAGCTGGTGGACTTCAATTCCCAGAATTCCCTGGCCAGCTGGCGGACTTCAACTCTCAGAATTCTGGGAGTTGAAGTCCGCCAGGCTTAAAGTTGCCAAGGTTGGAGACTAGAAGACAGCATTTACTACATAGTGCTAAGATCCGATTTATTTCTTAATTTGAAGGTTAAACCTTAAGAGGCAACCGGTTAGTGAGTTGTACAGGTAGTCTTCGGCTTACGACCACAAGGGCCCCCAAATTTTCTGTGGCTAAGGGAGGTGAATTGGTTAAGCCAAAGGGTCAGCAACCTTAAGGACTCAAAGAGACATTGGGACCTGTTTCCCACCCAAAGAACACCGGGAGTCACAGAAACCTTCCCGTGGCTGACTATTTCCTGAGCCACCACAAAACTAGCAAAGATAGTTGAATTAAAGGTTCTGTTTTCTTTCTGAATCTTTTCTTTTATTGGATTTATCCATGTTTGGCCTACTGGGGGCTCCTGAGCCGTGGGTTGCTGACCCCTGGGTTAAGCGAATGTTGCCCCATCTTACGACGTTGCTTGTTGTTAAGTGAATCACTGCTGTTGCTAAATTAGTAACCCAGTGGATAAGTGAATCCCGCTTCCCCCGTTGACTTTGCTTATCAGGAGGTTGCAAAAGGGAATCATGTGACACGCACACACACACACACACACACCGGGACACAGCAATGGTCATTAATAGGAACCGGTTGCCGAGTGTCCGAATTTTGATCACGTGAGGACGCTCATCAACGGTCATTAAGTGTGAAAAACAGCCCGAAGTCACCTTTTTAAAGTGGCGTTGTAACTTTGTACATGAAACGGTTGTAAGTCCAGGACAGCCTGTACTTAAAACTAAAAACTCGGGATAGTCCCATGTTTTAGTTGTAAGCCATTTGTTAATGAATGTAGACTTTTTTTTAAAGACCGTATTTGGAAGAAATTCTATAGGTCCCTTATAAGGTCCTAGTTGCACAATTCTGTTATCATCTTCTTGTAATGACCCCCCCAAAAAATCCCTTGCGCAGGTGGAGTCTGGGCAGCTGAATGGAGCTTAGTGTTTACTGGCTGGATGCCTTTCCCTGTCGCCAGTGTGGAGTTTTCCCCCCGAAAAGATACATTCTCAATGTGCCCAGAGAGAGAAATATCTGCCTCTACCTAGGATCGAACTCACAGCCTCCTGATTGTGAGGCGAGAGCGCCACCTCTAGGCTACCGCACCATTCTTGGTTGCACAATTATGTGAACTTTAAAAAAAAACAAAAAAAAAACCCTCCACTTAAAGCAAACCTCTAATAGGGCTTGTTCCCTATAAGGTGTGTTTAAGAATAAAGACAGATTAGGGATAGTTGTGGGGGGTTTTTTTTGAGGGCAGAGGAGAATTCAGAGCCACTAGTCCTCATGACGAATGAAAAATCTCCTGGTGTCTTTTTATGTATCAGAGAATACTTTCTTTACATATTCAAACGAAATTGTAAATGAAATCTCCAAACTTGGCCACTTTTAAGACTTCAACTCCCAGAATTCTCCAGCCAGCCATGGTGCCGGAAGAATTCTGGGAGTTGATTTAAAGTAGGGGCTTCCAAACCTGGCCATTTTTAAGACTACAACTCCCAGAATGCCTCAGGCTGGCTGAAGAATTCTGGGAGTTGAAGTCCACGGGTGTGATTTATAGTATGGGTCTCGAAATGTGGCCACTTTTAAGACTTCAACTCCCAGAATTCCTCAGCCAAGCTTTTAAGCTTCCTTGGCCACGTTTAAGACCCGTGGACTTCAATTTCCAGAATCCCTCAGCCAGCCAGGAATTCTGGGAGTTGGAAGTCCACAGGTCTTAAAGGTTGGAAATTCTTAATTTTTAGAATTAGGTGCCTAAAACTCTGAAGAAACAGGCCACCACGGTGGGGAGGTTTCCCCACGACCTGCGCACTTCAACAGTCCTCATTCAACCATTGAAGCACACCGCTTGGAAAATGCCACCACGGACGATGCGTGGGCATCTTCTGAACTCTTCCGAATCCCTGGAAAAAACAAACCCCAAAGCGAATTGGTCATCCTGACACATTAAGCAGAAGAAAATCTGGTTATTATTACTCCAATCGATTAGCTTGTTGGGGGTTCTTTGGTTTTTGGAAATTGTGCCCCTTTTTCTTACGTCGGTTTCTTGCATCCGACCCAAAGGCTGTATATTTCTAATCAGCAGGGAGGTGTTTACAAAAAGGAGCCCCAACTCCTTGTTGCAAATGGGCCTCAGCCCAGCGTGTTCCGTTCCCGGGTTGCGATGACATCGTCCACGCCGTTTTTAAGCCCCTGCCCCACCCCATCCCTTAAAGGTTTTTTTAAAATCCCTTTTCTTTTCAAAGGCACAAAACCCTTGAGGTTCGTTTTGTCCGCCGGTAATGCTTTTCCAACATCCTTTCCGTGTCTTTCGACCACCGTGTTCTGTGACTCGATTGTATAGTGTTAATATCGACGCGAAACCTGTCTACTCGAATTAGACGTATAAATAACGTTTCCCCTCTCCTTGTAGTCTTTGAATGGTGTGTCTTTATGGAACAAAATATGAGTTGTTATTATTATTATTATTATTATTTTGCATTTTAGATGGGCCTCGTGGACCGATCTCGGTGGCACGTGGCTGGGTTTTTAATTTCCCATTCCCCCCCCCCCTCCTCCTTTTTCCAGATATCTTTGTGAGCGTTAAACTGTCCTAAATTATGTTTTCAGGAACTCTGGTTTTATTTATATGTGGTTAAAATGAATGCTTCTATTTAAAAAGGGAAATATTTCTACATGTGCATATAGTTTTACAAAAGTGTACCATTAACTGGTTGTTGATAATAAAAATGAAAACAAAATACGGGCGCACTCGGTTCTCTTGGTCTAATTTACTTAATTCCTGAACATTTTGGATTTTTTTTAATGCAACTATGTATGTNTCAGGCATGGGAACAAATTCCATGCCACTGATAATCTGGAAAGGAGTTAATCCAGTGCTGCTGTGGATCGCATTGTTGTACGCCACTTCGGCAAAGGGTAGTAAGTCTGACCAGTTGTCTTGCTGATAGTCCACGTAACACCGGATGTATTGTTCCACCATCGCATTGGCCCTCTCCACTGCACCGTTTGTGCTGGGATGAAATGCTGAGCTGAGTCCTTGTGTGGACCTAATGGAAATTAAAGCAGCTCTTTGCCCAAGAGCCCATACTGCAACACCCCGACCCAAAGTGACCATTCATAATCCCGACGGATGCCAGTGATGTAGCACTAGCTGCAGTGCTACTACAAAAGAATAGAGAGGGCCACCTCTTGCCATGTGCTTACATCTCCAGGAAACTCACCACTATTGAAAGGAGGTGGGCCATTTGGGAGAAAGAAGCGTTTGCGATCAGGTGGAGCATGCTCACCTGGAGACATCTCCTGGAAGGGGGGATATGCCGTTCGAGGTCTGGACTGATCATAAAAACTTCGAAGCTCTCAAAGCCCATCGAG